TGTTTTTCTTAAGGAAGTTTTTCTACTTGACAATTTTATTTTGGATGTGCACAGAGTACAAAGAGCTCCCATATCCCCAACACCAGGTGCCCATCATACACGAGTGAGTACATTTTTCACAATGCTGATCCTATGTGGAAGCATTAGAATCCAGGTAGGTGCTTGATTAACCCAGGGGTCTTTGCTTACCTTAGGTCCTTCTGTGTCACAGGACCCCCTAGAGGATCTACCATGCCCATTATGCTCCTTGGGACTGTGGAAGTTTCTCAGTTTTTGTGTTTTGTTAGTTATTTTGTTTGGTTTGGTCCTGGGGATTGAACACAGGGGTGCTCTAGTTTCAAGCTATATCCCAAGCCCTTTCTGGTTTTTATTTTGAGACAGGATCTCACCAAGTTGCTGAGGCTGGCCATGAACTTGAGATCCTCCAATCTGATCCCCAGCTGGGATTATAGGCTGGCTATAATTGATGAGCTGGATGGTTTGAGGAATGCTGATCAGGCATGTTGTAGACTGTCCCTTGGCTGGGATTTGCCTGATGGTTTTCTCTTGACCACATTTCTGTTGGTGTTTGGGGGAAAAAACTACAGAGGCCCATCCCATGCTCTAGTTTTGAGGCTGTCAGCCATAACCTTGACTACACTGCTGCTGTAAGCCTGTTACCAAGCTAAGGCAGTGTGAGTCAGGTTTCTCCAGGACATGGGTGACTCTTATTAAAATGGAAAACCCCTGGACAAGCTTAAACTGAGTTTATTTGAGCAAAACAAAAATGATTATAAATCAGGCAGCCACAGGAACCAGAAGAGGTCCAGCTATCAGTGTGACCAGACAGGGTGTATGGAAACTGAAGCAGGGAGTGGGGACCATGTGCCTGCTCTGTTACCACCTCCACTGACTGATGACTGATGGGACATCTTAACCATGTGGTCCATCTGGCCTGCGACAGGATCTCAAGGCCGTCATTGCCTGCTGCAGGTCCTCCTTCACAGTTTTCCCTTCTGAACTGTGCACATTGGAGTAGGTGCCAAGCAGGGCCCACCATGGAGGAGCAAGGAGCTGGGATGGAGCCTACTCCTTGAGGGTGGATTGTCTGCTGATTACTCAGATTTCTTCCAAGAGAGGGGACCCTCTACATACCCCACCTTCCTGCTTATGTCCTATGACTCCTGATACTTCTCTTGGATATTGACCTGGATATTATTGACCCACACCCTGTGTCACCTTGCCCCTTTGCTCCACTTTTGTCCCCAGGCATTTGTTTTTTTGGGGTGCTGCTGTGTCCCTTGACACCTTCCATCACTTTGTAGGACTCTTGTGTTCTTGGGTGTTTTTTTTTTTTTTTTTTCAGTGCTTCCCGACTTCTGGCTCCACCTGAGGCTCTGGGGACACCTTGTTTGTTTTCTGCCCTTGCCTCAAAGTCAGCTGTCACACCAGGGAATCCTGATTTGTCTTATCGAAGAGTGAGATTTGAGAATGAGATTTGGTGAATCTCCATTTTTACCAAGGGGATATTTGTAGGAAATGGAAAAGAGACAGGTGACATCAAGTCCAGCTGGGTCTCAGTTCACAGGCAGGCTGGGGGTGTGTGCTACTTTTACAAAGTCACTGAAGAGCAGAGCTTATGATTTTATGCCATCATATACAATAGTACACAATGTGATTGCCAGCTTTTCACATAGTTGAGAAAGAACAGATGCTTTCATAGATGGGCTTGCCTGAGTGGTGAGCCTGTGCTTGTTCCAGAACCCACAGTCCAGTGACCTAGTGACCCAAACTAAAGAGGGGAATATTATACTTATTGGGAAAGCATGTGATGTGTACATGCTAAGCATGTAGGAGGGCCAGCTTTTTAAACAGACTTATACAAAAGCAAAATGCATAAAAGGGAATCGGTAGTTAAATATAACCATACCAGCAAGTTTGAACTTGCATGACAAAGGACAGGAATCCAGACTTATGCTGGGAGGATGGTACACAAAGAATTCCTACAACAACAGTAAAAAGAACAAGAAATGGAAAATGAGAAGTGTGAGCTTCAGTAGGTAAAAAGGAAAATCAGAACAGCCAATCAACTGAGTGAAGTCCACCTCACAAGGCCTTGGGTTCCCCCTACCCCAGCACCCGTGAAGTAGAATTGCACAGGCCTCATGCCATCAAGGCAGGTACTGTGGGAGAATCCAAGGTTCCACCAAGGGTCAGCACTCGTGCCCACTGCTGTTGGGGTGAGTGGCCGGGCTCTAGGGGAGGGAAGTTTATAGAGCCAAACCCACCTTGATCGTGCTTCCCCAGGCCCTAGCAGTTCAAATTCTAAAGGTCTGTCCTGGAGGAATGCACACGGGACTCACAAGCATATGACAAGTAAGAATGCTCTACATTGTAACAGCAAGAAGCCCTAAGACCTAGGGCGCATAGGGGAAGGATGAATGGACAACAAGTAGCAGATGCTTAGGAGGGGAACTAAACAGCTTCAAAAAGAATGAATAAAGGGGCTGGGGATGTGGCTCAAGTAGTAGCACGCTCGCCTGGCATGCACGGGGCGCTGGTTTCGATCCTCAGCACCACATAAAAATAAAATAAAGATGTTGTGTCCACTGAGAACTAAAAAAATAAATATTGAAAAATTCTTTCTCTCTCTTTCTTTGAATAAAGTCTATCTTTTCAAATCTTTTTTATCTACTTTACAAAATGAATCTCTCTCTGAAATCCTTCTGCTGAAAAACAAAGTGTGAACTACTATTGCTCTGTGAGATAAAACATGGAGTAATGCAAAGTATTTTCTACATGTATATCCATGCGGTTGTAAAAGTATTTTTAAGGTGGGTAAAAACACTCAAGACACCATAGTAATGGTAATAATTGGGGATGTTTTAGGGAGGAAGCTTGGAAATGCAGAATAACATATATTGTGATGATATAATCTGCAATAAGAAGAATGGATTCCTGTATCAATAGTAAAATTTAAAATTAATTTTATTTACTTTTGTGTGGTGCAGAGGATCAAACCCAAGGCCTCACACATGCAAGGCAAGCAAGCACTCTACCACTGGGCTATAACCCCATTCCTGAAAATTAATTTTGAATAAAGAAAGAAAAACATTACAGATATCTCAGAAAAAGGAAAGAACACAAATTTTAGCTCTTAACAAAGGCAAATAGTTTTTCTAACCATATTTGCCAAAGTTCCAAGAGCTGCCGTTGATTGCTGAGGAGAAAATAGCATTCATGTTTAGAAGTTGGTTCATTTTTGGCTAAATGCACCTTTATGCCCATAGCATATGGATCACTGTGGTTTTCATTTCTTGTTTCTTTTCAAATAGTTTTCTTGCTTCTGCTTCCTGCAGATTCACAACTCACTTCCCTTGCCTGCAGATTCACAACGTTTTCAGTATGCATTAAGATGAAAATGCATTGAGTATAAAAGCAATAATCTTCAGATAAAAGGGACTTATTTAAGAGGACAGTAAGGAAGAAACCTTAAGCAAGAACTTAAAGAGAATGGGTTGTTTCGCCAGAACTTGCGGGGTGCATTCCTCCCCCATGCCCCGGGCGCCATGGAAACCGCCCGGTTAACTCCCACCCCTCAGCACAGCCTCTGAAATTCATTCGTCCCCCTCCCAGTGAACCCTGGCAAGAAGATCCCCTGTGCCCTTCCTAGAGGATGGCCGAGTCAGAGATGGAAACCTTGCTGCTGCAAAGAGGCACATGTGTCTGCTCATTGGTACCAGACAGAGCGCCTCCACTTTCAAAGAAAGAAGGGAAAATAGTCAAATAACCAAACATCTGTGTCATAATGTACCGATGACGTTCTCCATTCTTTGAACGCTCTATCATTCAATATTGGTTGAGTGAATGGCTACTTGATTCTGTGGGGTCCTGTCAATATAGTGATTCAATGTTCAACAGAGACTAATGCGGAGAGAAATGCAAAATGATCACCCACTTAGAAAGACAGGTCTCATTCAATAATATTACTAATAAATTATTTTTATATATTTAAGATTAAAAAATAATAAACACTGGTGTGTACCCTATTCAGTTTAAGAAATAAATTCTGGGCAGAGCTTAAGATTTCTGTACACTGCTTCCTAAACCCATGCTCTCCTCACCCCAGGTTAAGCCATAATCCAGAATGTGGTCTTTCTCATTCCGGTGCATTTTTCTATATTTTGAACTATATTTCTATATTTGAACTCTGTCTGTAGGTATAACTAAGCATCAAGTATTGTCCTGCATGATCTTAAACTTTTTATATTGTTAAGATTTCTTATTTGGTTTACAATACACTGTTTGAATAATAACAGCAGGGCTTGGCCTGTAGGCATCCCACAGAGATTATTTTGGAGAATTCCATGAAACTACCAGGGAGTAGTTGTGATATACCCAGAGTAAGTCCAATAATATCAGCTCAAAGCCAAAGAACCTTGCTAAGGTGTATTTACTGAATATTTGAATCCCCGAGACTGACAGCATAAGCCCCATCCATGGCCCTGTTACAAATTAGAAAACAGGGCCAACTCTACATAAGCAATTTCCTGCTAACAGCCTGGACAAGCTTCCATTTGAACAGTGAACCACCTGCACAACTATATCAGCATCCCTGTCATGTATTACCATATGCCAGGAACTGCACATGAATGGATACATTTAATTCTCATATAGTCATAGAAGGTCTGGGAGGTCAGGAATCCAGAAACAGCTTGGTTGGGTGGCTCTGGATCAGGGCTTCTCAAGCGAGCTCGGTTATTGGCTGGAGCTGTCTCATCGGAAGGCTGGACTGGAAGATCTGCTTCCAAGATGGCACACTCACATGGCTGTTGGCAAAAGGCCTGGGTTCCTCCTTGCATGAATCTCTCCACAGGGCTGCCTGAGTGTCCCCATGACATGACAGCAGGCTTCCCCCTGCATAAGTAATAGAGAGAAGAGAGGGAAAGATCCTCTTTGGAGAAACATCTATTCAAAACCTTAACCAATTTGAAAAATCCACCGTGTCTTCAGGGGCCAGCATGAACACCTGCCAGAGCCTGATGGAGCAGCTCAGGCTGGAGGTTGGGGTGGAGAGGATCATGGTCTCTCCAGGGGCCTCAGAGTCTCATCACTACAGGGTGCAGAATGGCTGCCAGAATGCTCTGCTGGTCTGTGTTCCAGTTGGAAGTGACCCCTGCCGGGAGCCCAGATCCTGAGCCTTACTCTGAAGAGTGCAGGGCAGCAATTGGTGGAGGAGGCCCTTCAGACACAATGTGATGAATGATGCCTTTAAGTCTCAAGAAAACCTTTTTCTCCAGCCAAATTACTTTGAGATATTTCAGATCTTCCCTGTGACTGGTCCTGCAGCCAAAATTCTACAGAAATTTGTTATTTTCCGCTCAAATAAGGAAACTGACTGAAGGAGTGGAGTTTTAAATAATAATGGCTCAATTCTTGGTAAAGTGCTTTATATGAAGATAAGCAAAAAAACTTACCATTCATCAGGTGGTGAACTGAAATATTTTATTGTTCTTTATATAAATTCAATTTTAATATATTAAAATTCATGACTTAAAATAAAAGAGAACTTAAAAGAGATATCCTCAGTCCTCTAGCAGAAATGAAATCAGGACTTTTCTCTGCTTGCATTCTGAGTAACCAAGACTTAAGCCTATTGCTACAAGCTCCTCCCCTCCTCCCATGAATGCTGAGGACAGTAACCTGGCTGTTCTGCTGCCTCTTTCCCCTGGAAAACATGACCTGTGAACCAAGCTACAGAAATCTGTAAGTGTACCTCTACCGCTGGGAGAGAACTAGAACTGAGACTGCTGAGGAATCCAGAAGAAGTGGGGACTTGGATGGTTTCTCCAGCTTCCCAGTTCTCAAGAGCAAACCCCATCAACCTATTCTACTGACTCCTTATTCCTGTGGTTCTTGTGCTTGAAGAATGGGAAAAACTCTCATGGACATCTGGTGTTTTCTTAATCAGTAGAGACATAAATGTTTCACTGCTGGTGCACAGAAGTTTCTGTGTTCCAGGTGCAATACTTGTGTGGGATGTCCTGACTAAGATTCCCCTGCCTCTCGCTCTTTTAAAGCTACAAAACAGAACACCTTCTGCCTGAAGGCACAATTAATCCTTTCCTGCCTCAACTATTTGCCCAGCACTTGGGACACACCATGGAGCAAACACATTTCCTGTGCTTATGGAGCTTATCCAGAGGTTGGGAGACCTTCTGCATAGATGGCTTTGTGACCCCTGCATTTCTACCACAACCCCTTATCCCTTCTGCTGCTGCTTCAAAGCAGCCACAGCCCCTGCAGCCACAGACAAATGGAACTGGCTGTGCTCTAGCATAACAAAATATGAATATTAATGTTAATTAATAGCAGGTGGGGAGCAGATTTCGCTGGAGGGCTGTACTTTGCTGATCTCTGATTTAGACAATAAACTTAATAAAAAGGAAACTTACAATATTATTAAAGGATAACAAAGAAAAGGAAAGGGATTTGGAGTGTGGAGCAAATGAGCCATGCAACTTTAAGGGACTAAGAAGGTGACACCTGGGAAAGTCTTGGAGAGTGACAGCCAGCCCTGGGCCCTGAGGGCGGTAGCTGTTCACAGAGGAGGAGTGTTGTCTTGGTTCTTTTCTGTTTATGTTCCTTAGGACAGCTCTTGCTTCTTCAGCCACTGCATGCCACCAGCCTGCCCCTCAGGACCCTCTGTCTCATCTTTTCTTGGTCAGCTCTAAACTGACCATGGATTGCTGGATGCTGCCTAGTTGATAGCTGTTCCCAGTTTGAGTTGGACATGGAGGGCAAGAGAGAATCAAAAATCTTCCTTCAGTTTTCAGACTGATCCCAAGATTTCTCATCCCCTTTATTAAGAAGTGGGGTACATATGGGTAAAGGATAAAACCATATTTTGAGTTTTGGATGTTATATCACTCACATGGCTTAAATAAAATAAATATTCTAATATACTAAAAAGGTATTTTTTCTTCATTTTTTATGTTACCATGCTTTTGTGCTGTGTTTAAAATTTAACCAGAATCACAGTGCATTTCTTTTTATGTGTTTCCTAAAATTCCTACCTACTGACAAAAGCAGACCAGACTATTAGATGCATTTTCTGAAATAAAAAGAGGCCTTAGAGCAGGAAGCAGAGGCAGATTCCTTTTCTCCTTTTTCGGACTTTCAGAAGTCTTAGGAATCATCGCAGAGGTCAATGATGGGTGCCACTGGCAACTCTGTGTGAAGATTCTTGTGGGATTTAATTTTCTTGGATACCTGCTACAAATTTATTTCAAGTTTAAGTCGATTCAAGTGCAGTGTTCCTAATTCCATTAAATTTGTGACTGTCTCACACTGGCTAGAGGAATGGCATTACATAGGGTTCATTCCAGCTACACTTTTTTTTTTATTTTGCTTATGCCAGACCAAGATTGTTTTCTGTCTCTTTTATCAGAGCAAGAATAAGAATTAAAAAATAAAGCAGAGGGAGAAAGCTCCAGTGAGAGAGAGAGAGCATTTCCTGCCTCCATGCTAGAGGTATAAGGAGTAGCCCAACAACCTCACTCAGTTCTGCTGAGCCATAATGTCTGCCCTGCTCCACACAAGACTCCTGCCGCTCCCAGCACAGTCCTCACCTGGCAGGGTTCAGGTACAGGAAAAACCCTGTCACTCTTTGAGACTATTTTTTTTCTGTAGTGCACAGAAACTGTGGTGCTTTAAAAATATCCCCCTTTATCCCAGACAAAGGAGCCCCAAGGTGGCACTCAAAGGCTTGTTCTACAGAAGCCCTGTAGGCTAGTTGAGAGCAGGAGGATAAATTCAATTTGCTAAATGGAAAAAAGGAAAAACTCACCAAGCAAGAGTACTTTGTCCAGCAAAAACTGTCTTTCAGAAATGAGGAGGAAGTAGGTGATGACTCTCCCAAAGAAACGCCATGTTCCCCACCTTGAGGTCTGTCCCTGGAACTGCTGAAGAGAATGAAGTTGAAGCAGACAAACAAAATTACTAATTAGCAACATAAAATATATAAAAGCACATACGGCAATACTATAAGTAATACTGAGTCAATTTTTCTCTCCAGTATGTGGAGAGAGAAAATATTTAAGACAACTATATATCAAACAGATTGTCAAGGTACGTAGTACAAAGTCATGGAAATGTTGACATCAAAAGCATAAAATGTGTGTTTTAAGTAGCTAGTCAAAGCACAGAGTTGTATACGATTGAGATTAAGTTGTTATCTGCATAAAATTGTCTAAGATTTTTATATAAGCTGTGGTAACCACAAAGCAAAAATTGACATCAGATCAGAAAATATAATAACGATGATTTTATTTTATATCCTGCTACTTTGCTGAATTCATTTACTAGTTCTAGAGTTTTCTGGTGGAGCTTTTGGGGTCTTCAAGATATAGAATTATATCGTTAGCAAATAGTGCTAATTTGAGTTCTTCTTTTCCTATACGTATCCCTTTAATTTCTTTCGTCTGTCTAATTGCTCTGGCCAGTATTTCAAGAACTATATTAAATAGAAGTGGTGAAAGAGGGCATCCCTGTCTAGTTCCAGTTTTTAAAGGGAATACCTTCAATTTTTCTCTGTTTAGAATGATGTTGGCCTGAGGCTTAGTGTAGATAGCCTTTACAATGTTGAGATATGTTCCTGGTTCCCTAGTTTTTCTAGTGTTTTGAATATGAAGAGGTGCTGTATTTTGTTAAATGCTTTTTCTGCATCTGTTGAGATGATCATATCATTCTTATCTTTGAGTCTATTGCTGTGATGAATTACATTAAATAAAATCAATAAAAAAAGATGATTTTAGAAATAAAAAAAAAATTGACATCAGAAGCACAAAACACAAATAGAAGAGAGCCTAAGCATACCAGGTGCTGTGGGTTGAGTATGTCCCAAAGGTTCACATGTCATTTGCATGAGAGCATCAGTCTAGTGTCTCTGCTTACTCACTGTCTTAGTTCCCTGACACTCACAACTCTTCCCAGGCAGGAAGGGGAGTTTAGCAGGCAGTACCACTCAGGGTACACCCAGGGATCCATGGTCTGATTGCCAGGGCTGGAGTTCTGGAGCCAGCAGTCACTGGTTTTGTGATTACGTTGGGCAAGTCACTTAAGCTCATGAAACCCCAATCAAGTCCTGAGCAACAATAGGATGTACTTTTCAGGATTGCCGTGGAAGGTTATACAGAACAATGTGGGAAGCATTTGACCCTCACTCAGGATGGCTCTGCTCCATCACATCCCCATGAGCACTGAGCTGCTGCCTATGGGATCCAGGACCCGGCCAGGATCAGGATGCCTAAAAGTCAATAGTCAAATGTGTAATACTTATCATTAACCATGGCAGTTCTATTCTTTAAAGTCACCTGGAAACCTGAGCTGGGGAGTGTTGGGGTGTTGATCCTAGTAGCAGCAGGGCCAGATGCCTTCCAGCCTCTGGTTGCACTTGCTTGCAGCCACCCACCAATATGTCACCTTGTGGCATGTGTGCTTCTGTTTGAGACATCTTAATTGATACACACTGCTAATTGGTTAGCATGAAACAGGGCCAGCAGCACACACCTTGTGTTGGAAGGGAGATTCTTTGATGTGTGTGTTCTCTGTGAGGAAATCTCAGCCTTCCTTTTCTCAGGAGTGCAAGAGCACTTCAGCATGATATATGGAGGGTGTTTAAACAGAGCTCTAGGCAGGTGGAGAAAAAGACACTTGTTTTTAGTGTCTTTTTTACAAAAAGGAACATGGAGGCCTCATTCAGCCTCAGCAGGGAGCATAGCTATCAGGTGGCTCTGGGCACATGGGCACTGATTTGGGGGTTACAAGTAAGTTTTACAAGCAGTAAACTTGCAAAAACAGAATATGAATAATGAAGATTGGCTACACCTAAGGTGGTAACTTCTGGAAAATGTTCACTGTTACTATTGCTGTTATTAGAATGGTACTGAAGGACAGGGACAGAGTGAGACCTCCCTTTCATCTGGCAGTTCTTCAGGGTGCCCCGGGGAAGCTTGGGGAACAGGAATCCGTCTCCAGGTTGCTCTGTGCCAACCATCCCCCACTTTCCTCCCATACTTTCTCTTTTCCTTTCTTTTCTTTTATACTTCTTGCCATTTGCAAGGGTCTGGATTGAAGTATAACAGTGGCTACAAAGACCACATGCCATCTCCCATCTCCTAAGAGCTGTAGTGCTGGG